ATTAAACGTATCTATGATAATAAAATGATATGTATAAACTTGTATAAAATGAAAACACTTATTACTTATGTATGAATGGCCTGATAAGTCCGAGATGACACATCTGTAAAATAAACAAAAGAAATATATGAGCGACCAATTCAACCATCAATAAATCAATATAACGAAGTGAATAAACACATAATAGTTTATGATTTATATTACAATCTTTTCCGGATCACAGGTATTAAGGGTCAACTCGCGAAATACCTCCTCGGAAAATAAATTACGCTAGTCTAGAGTATCTACCATGGTAAACAGTGTAACGGCATGCTTTCACTAAGGTACTAAGGGTCAACTCGCATAGTACCCACTCTATAAACAACTAGCGGAGTATGAAGGGTCAACTCGCATCATACTCGAACACCAAAGCACTAAGGGTCAACTCGCATAGTGCTCAACACACATATTGAAATATAATCATAAAAGCTCATAATCATTAATGTAAATGAATTACAATTAATTAACCAAGTAAAATTGATCACCCAGTGAAATAACTCACCTTTAAGGTATATTGATAGCAACAAAACTAACACTTTCACAAAACAGGTGAATAATATTATTTAACTGATTTTTATATTTTCCACTAACGACGACTTACGAAAGACTGTCTGTATAAAAGAGATCTTGCCATCAGGAACCGTGCGTGTGGTTATTAAAAGGGTTGCTTGTTCTAGGCGTTATCGCGCCGTTCATATAAACAAAGTTTAAAGAATTTGGACGAGGGTAGCCGCATAAATTATAACATCTGAAGACTGCTTCATAATATTTTAGCCTTAACAGAAAGGTTCGTTTTACGAAAATAACTTACTTCTTACATACTAAACAATGTAACTTGTAGTTAAAATAAAAAAAAAGAATAATAACATACGTTTGAGCAAACAAATTCAATGGGAGTGTTGGCTTTGCATGGTCATAATTTGTTGTTTTAAGTTTCAAACACGACTCTAAATTTTCATTTGTTAGTTGGCTTCTTACTTTACTTTTAATTATATTCATGCAAGGGCTTGCTCGCACGAATATGTCGATCAGAAGATAATCAGCACTCCACATGCCAACTTCTTCACCTCTCTGTAACAGTCTGGAAGACTATTGGGATGCGGTGAAAAGCGAGTACAAGTGTGTGAGAGATAGAATCAAAGCCTAATCCTCGTTAATCAATTCAGAACGATTTTTAAATGTTTTTTTTTGATAAAATAAATAATATTTTCGTATGGAACTAAAGAGCCGCAGCTTCACATCCAAAGAGCCGCAGGTTGCCGACCCCTGCATTAGGACACAGCCCTTATTCCTGGTCCACATTCAAAAGGCCCAGCAACCTTAGTTGTCAGAATGAATATATTATTTATCTATGACTGAATACCATCAGTTAAACACATCTAAAACGACAATATCCATGATTTTTAATTAAAAAGATTAATTTTTTAATTACATGTTTTAACAATCAACTAGCGCCAGGAAATCGTATCATCGGAAGAGATAGCTGAGCCAATTGTCATTATACATATGCCTACGATAGAACATCACCTCATGAACATATTAGTATATTTTTATACATTTAATATTAATCAGAAAAATACACAAAAAATGCAGAATGAGTTATTTTGTTCTGTTAAATAATTGTTAACAACATCAAAGTCTCCATTAATATAACATTTGAAATAAATAAGAAGCTAAGGTTTCTAATAATTTCAGTTTTCAGTAAGCTCCCATTAAAATTAAAAACACTGTATACTCTGTAAAAAGACAACAACACGAACTCTGACTTACTTATTTCTATACAAATTTCTCCTGAAGGTATCAGGGGATGTGCGACAAAAATTTCGAACATTAGCTCATCTATCTATTGTTTTTGTTAATAACGAAGGCCTAATTTATTTTGATTTATTCATATTTATTTTCAGAAACAAAAAAATATAAAATATCTTAAAGTATAGATATTTACGCAAGTCATGAAACCTCAACCTTATTAACTACAGGTATTACTGTAAAAGCTTGAACATTAAAGAAATGTTAATATCTACCATCTACCCATTAAAACTCCAAGTACATAATATAATAAACTTTAAAAGTAATTAACGTCTTAACATTATTGAAATGCAACGATAAATCCTATCATTTACCAATGCTAGTTTCAATAAGTTGAATAACACAAAACTTTAAACTGTTTCCTAAGTGAAGGACAGTGCATTTGTCATTTTCTTTTAAATTCACAGTGAATTTGTTGCAAAATGTGCATCGATGTCGTAGAACATCATCTAAGATTTCGTCACAAATAAGTATATTGCATTTAATGTTCTTGTAATAATAATTTGCGAAAATTGCATAAACTTGCGGCTTAGGAATCTTACATATGATACAATGATTTGTGTATGTTGTATAAATTTTATGACACAATAAACACAACAATTTCGTAATAATTGACAATGCATTTGAATTATTGTACGTATTTGTTGGGCGCGACGTACTTGACTTATTACCTCCACCCCAGTTGGAAAAAGTTGCGGATTGCTGGGTTTGGTAGTTTAATGCAACCTACAAAAGTTAAGCATAATTTGCAATTTTTTTTTGTCAAAGGTCCAATGCAAAGTGCATCGCTTCTATCCGAAATTCCGAATCCTTTCCAAAATTATGCAAAATCCCATTCTTCTCAAAACATGTCACCTTACGACAGCCCATCGCGGTTTTATATCATCGTAATTAAAATTGGCTGGAACCACTTTGAAGAGCGAAATTTTGCGAATACTAATTTGAAAATTGTTTAAAAAAGAGTCGAAATTATGAATTATTTTCTTTGATATTTCCTCAAAACACGTCACCTTACGACACCCTGCCGCACTTTTATGTCATACAAATTAAAATTGGCTTGAACCATCAGTAGCAGATCTTGGACATTCACGACCCCATGCATAACATTTTTTCAAGAAAAAATAAAAGTCAAAGTGCAAAATTCCTAAATAACTCATAATTTTTCAATTTCTTTTACAAGAAATACATAACTGCAGTGCAGGGTCAATTGTGAAGCCCCAGCATAAGTCGAGGGCCCAACGTTGTCTGCTACTTTTTATATGTAATATAAAGAGTATTTTTAAAATATTGTTGTTTAAGATTTTTACTGATTTAGCATAATGATCGTATTATAAATAGGAAATACCATTTGCGACTGATTCCAAGTGCTATTTCTTAAATTCATTAAAATTTTCAGAAACTCCTATCAAAATTGGTTCAGTGAAATAAGTTTCTTATTTAATATTAAGTTTTTATGACAACACAAAAATTACAATTTTCGATTGCAAATAAATCAATTTGCCGTAGAAATAGTATAATTTATTAGGTAACTTATAATAATCTCAATTTTAACATGTTTTTTTAAAAATTATTTCAAGTTTTTTAATTATTACAATTTACTTTGTAATATCAACTAAAATACCTAGTAACGTATGAGTTATTAGTTTAAAAATACTGAGTACATGAGCTTTGTACTAGGTACACTGATATAGGTACATATTTTATAAAGAATTCGGACGAACAAGTAAACGTATTATTTTTTTCCAAATTAATTAATGAGACATAAAACTTTGCTTTGGTCGCATAATATTTAACAGTTTGTACTTTTGGAACAATTTTTATTTTGCCCAAAACTATTTCTTATTTAGGCCAATGGAACAAATCAAAAATTAATGATAAAAAACACCCGAATATACTTGTACTATTACCATCTTACACAAATGTTTAATTAGCAATTACTTACTATTAAATAAAAACAAAAATAATCTCAATAAATTTGCTACATTTCATCAAAATCAAACACTGATGAAATAAACACGTTGTTTATCTGTTCCTGACATTCTGGCACTAGGTTTTTTCTAAGACAAGAGATAGATAAGATTGTTTAATTGATATATCGTAATTTACAGCAGGAGATGGTTTGAAATACCTAAATATTATTAATTTATTACAACTTATTGGAAACTGAAATAAATGTATTTGTAGAAGTGACTTAATTACATATCTAAACGGTAATAAACCAAAAACTGAAGGTGAGAACTTAGAAGTAGTAACGGGCAAGTTTATCAACACCTATATAATTAAAATTGAAACGTGTAAATTCATAATATATCTTTAGACTACAGCGAATGCTGTACAAAAATATAAAAACATTCCTACGACCTAAATACGATATTTAATTATTATTTAATTTATCTCTTACAAGTAACTGAATTAAAAAAGATATTGGAGGAGAATTAGTTTATAAATGATTATATACGGTTTATACTATAAGGCAGTACAATAATAAAACCGTTGAATAATATTCGCAAAAAAATATTTAGTATTATGTACGGGAATAATCAAAACATTCATAAAGTACCTCCTTATACTAGAACTAATTATAATATTGAATATTTGGTTCCTAAAAATTAATATGAGAATGGCACTTGTATTACTAGGTTCAAGTCTTTAAATTACCATAAGTACGTAAACAAAAAAACTAGCAAAAAAGTCATTGATGAACGCCATTCAAATTTTTAATTCGCTACTTAATTATTTATATATAGTAGATATCTTAATGAATTTTGAAAGATACACCACTCATGAAACGATACAGATTGTGTGAGAATTTATTATTATTTTCTTTTAATGCAGGGGTGATAATTTCAGTTACAATTTTAAATGTTTTTTACTTTAATTAGTTTATTAAACGTAAATAAAGTGCGTATAGATGTAGAATGCACATCTTTGCAGATATTAAGTCATGTGTATTATATTGTGAATATATTACATGTAATTCCAATTTAATAAATAATTAAAAAAATTATTGCCATCCTCACCAATTAATACTAATTTAATAAAAAACGTATTTGCTTTCGTCAATCTAAAGAACGATCTATACGCAATAAGGTCTATAGTATTAGAGACACTAAACTGGCTAAATTAACAAAATCATTGAGGTCAGTTGTCAGTTCCTTAAAAGTGTGGTTAAAAGTGAATTTTGAGTTTAGGAGTGGTATTTTATTTAACTTTTAATTGGAATTAATCAGATAAATTATTTTTTTGAAATATCAGTTTACTGATGGATGTTTATTTAATGCTTCATTGTGTTGAATTCATTGGTGGTTAAAATTCTTAAGTTCTAAAACAGAAATGGTCTTTTATTTTCAAAGCAATGTGGTGTCTCCACCAGTGTTACTTTTTATGGGAGAAGACAAACACGAAAGTGAGTAACATCTATTACTTATGGCGCTATATTTGTAGCAAAACTATTTCAGATGAAGATTTAATTAAATGGGGGTGGCCTGAAGATGTTTGGTTTCATGTAGACAAGCTTTCTTCAGCACACGTTTACTTGCGATTAAAACCGGTAGTATATTCATTTAACCGATCAATTTAAATGTCTTATTAAAATTTGTTATATTAGGGTCAAACCCTAGATGACATTCCTTCTGCAGTATTAGATGATGCAGCACAACTTGTTAAGGCGAATAGTATAACAGGTAATAAAATGAATGATTTAGATGTTGTATATACAATGTGGAGTAACTTAAAGAAAACCCCTGCAATGGAAGTTGGACAAGTAGGTTTTCATAAGGAAAAGGAGATTAGAAAAATAAGAGTTGCTAAAAGGATTAATGAAGTTGTCACCAGACTAAATAAAACAAAGAAGGAGGAACATCCAGGTAAAATATAACTATTGATATCACACAACATTTACCAAAAAATTGTAATATGATTTATTAAAGTATTGATTGAAGATTTTAGGGCTGAACGAGAAAATAGAGACAGATTGGAAAGAGAAGATAAAAAAAAGCAGCTGAGAGAGCAGAAAGAGCGAGAAAAAGCTGAAGAAAAGAGAAAACAAGAAGAAGCAGAATTAAGAAGCTATTCCACATTGTTCAACACTGAAAACATGAAACTTAATACTGATGGATATGATTCAGACGACTTTATGTAAATATAAATAGGTATATTGCAACTTAGTTTTTTGTGAATAAAATATCAAAAAAAATATATACTAATTTTATTTTCACACTGTTTTGATTTCACACCCGTCACAATATCAAAACATATCTTCAGTTATAAGTATTTTATGTTGTAATCTGAATTAAAATAAAACTATGATAGAAGACAATCCGCTAAAATACAAAAACAATCATTCAATTACAAAAATGTTTATTTTTATTGGTGTACTAAAAGAAAATACTGGTTATTAATTATTAAATAAATTATACCTACATACAAAATGGTAATTACACTTTAAAATTATTTGTCTATAAAAAGCTGCAAAAAGCATATGGAATGCGTTTACACTTAGTCATCCATGACCTTTTGCAAAATACTAATTCCCTGTATTTTCCGCGAATATCTACAACTATATTCAACTAACAAGGAAGAGAACTTTGTTAAACTTAATCGAAACAGAAATATTTTATCTTGCCTGTTATGAAATAGGAAAAAAATTGTAAATTACGTTATGATCTTATCAGACAATTGTCACCTAATTAAATCTATATTTACAGCTTTCATAGAGTCCGCTACCCATGACGGATATTTTTTATCAGGATATACATCATACATAAACTTTCTAACAAAATCTGGAAATGTACCTTCTTTTATATTTACCCTTATCGTCTTCATCAGACGTTGCTGGAACGCTAAATTGTGAACAGTAACCAGGTGACATGCCACTGTATGCATAGTAACTATGTGGTGCAAGTATGACCTAGTGTATGTTTCACATGTTGAACATCTACATTCTTTATCAATTGGAGAAAAATCATTTTGGTATTTCTTTTGACGCAAATTAATTTGTCCAGTCATAATTAACGCACAGCCGAATCTCTAATCAAAAATTTACAAATTATATTTATGTAATCAAGTCAAAGAAAATGTGAAATATACCGCTGTTCTTGTTGGAAAAACACAATCGAACATATCAGCTCCAAGGGCAACACAAACAACTAAATCTACAGCAAATCCTACTCCCATTACATATCGTGGCTTGTCCTTTGGTAAGATATTAGTTGACAGATGTACCATTTTCCAGAAGTCGTCTTTACTTTCCCCACCACTGTAAAAATGTATACTATAATATTCATTAAATTTCCTTTTAACTGAAAAGTGAAAATACTTCCCACAAAAATAAAAAGAATACTAGATATTAATATAACATGTAATTACATAAATCTATTACCTTAAACCACCAATAGCATATCCTCTAACATTCTTACTGCAGTGTTCAAGGGCACTTTTTGTTCTTAATTCTGTACTTAATCCTCCTTGTACTATTGGAAAAATACTTTGACTATCAGCTTTCTTATGTGCCATTAAACAACGATCAAGCCACCTACTAGTTCTTTCATAAAAAAAGGAAAACACTAACATTACTTACTTAGTAAATAAGGAAAAACAAATGGTATTTACCTTCCCACAGCTTCTGTAATTCTATTAACATCAGTGGAAGTTGTTTTTACCACATCATCCAACTGCATTATAATATCAGCTCCAATTGAATTCTGAATTTCAATGGAATGTTCTGGTGTTAAAAGGATTTCTAATTTAGATTCATTAAGTGACTGAAATTTAACACCTTCTTCAGTAATCTGTGCTAACTTTAATAATGAAACCATTTGAAAACCACCTGAATCTGTTAATAAATTACGATTCCAGTTCATAAAACGGTGCAGGCCACCTGCCTTCTCAATGATTTCACGACCCTGAACATAATTTATTTAAAGAAACCAAGTTTAACAACATTGCCATTGACCTACCGGTTTCAAACCTAAATGATATGTATTGGCAAGTATTATTTGTATTTCCAAATTGTATAACTGTTCATTAAGCAACCCCTTCATGGTGCCCTATAAAATAATACACATTTAATTCATGCATCAATTTTTATTTTATTAATTCAACTCACTTGGGTTCCAACTGGCATAAAAACTGGTGCATCAACTTCACCATGGGGTAAATAGATTTTGCTTGTTCGAGCTTTTGTTTTTCTACATTCTGTAAATATTTTAAACACCAAAGGATTTTTAGGGCTTGTCATAACTTAAAAAACATTAACTTTTACAGAACTCATAAAAAATTGTGAGGTTAGAGAGAACGTAAAACAATTAGGTTAGTTTATTCCAATTCTTCTTTTTCGTACTGGACTCTGATGTAATGCTACAGTCAGCCATACATATTTCCTAGTTATATCAGCCAGGATAATGTGTGTACACCAGATTTAATAACAAAAACAAAACGAATTAATCCACATTTTATGCATTAATTAGCATTCGTTTCTTTATTTAATTGTCCATTTTTGATGATAAAACGTTTTAGTAATTATACCTTATAATAAAAGAAACTGCTTACTTCAGAAAAAAATGTATTTTCATAGTAGTTTCCTAAACAATGGGCAAACATAAAGATATCTGCGTAATATTTTCAATTCATTATGATACACTTTAAATGGAACAGGGAATCCTTATCCTAGAATTATAAAAAACTAATACATAAATAAATATTTTACACCACATTGTCCACCGTTTCATCACTATTCAGTCTTGTTGCATTTCGTTCTGGAGCGTTTAATACATTTCCTCCTATCCTTCTTGGCGGTAAATTCAGTCTAAGAGCCAGCCAGAATTGGCGATCGTTCGACCTCTCCCATTGAATTACAGTAGCATTCCTCAAAATTGAATTTAAGTTTTCGCCTATGGCATTTTTCGCTTGATCGTCACAGTTTGGCATCTTTTGAAGAACTACGAAACACGTTTTTGGTCCTAAGCCTTGAAGTTGCTTTAATGTTTGATACAATGAAGAAGCATCCCATTTATCATTCACAAGAGCTGGAGACACAACAGCTACAACACGTCGACTTTTTTGTGCCGCTTCCGACAGTTCCGAAGTCCCTAAAAATTAATCAAAACTCATTCAAAACCCTTATGTTTGTAGTATCAAATTAATAGTTTAAAAAATTGGTAACTTTCCAGATCCTAACTCTACGGCCCACGGTCAGATAATATCGAAAATGTGTGGAGAGGATAGGAATAATCTTGCGTAACATTAAAAGTACTTAATAGAAGGGAGCGAGGGTTAGTCGTACAGAGAAAAAGTCGAGCCAAAATGGTGGAAAATGAACTAAAGGGATGGAGATGACTTAAATTACTAAATAAGATGGTGAGGTGTAGGAGATTGAGGTAAAAATTAAATATTAGCAAATAAACTCAAGTAACCTAACCGAACCTAATCTAAGACTGCATTAGTTTCTTTTTTTATGTTAGGGGTTTCACAGAACACATTTCAAGTGTTGTACACGTTCATAACCCACCGCATCCTCCCATTTCCACCCCCTCCGATCGTGGGCCTCTACATTTAGATAATGACCAAAAAATAAAATCACCTTTATACTTTAACAAATAAAACTTTAAGGCAAAAGCACTTACATGCAATAATATTTTCGGAAAGTTCTTTACTATCACACTTGTACTGGTATTTGGTATCCATTGTAGATACTAAAACGCCAAGGACCAGTTCCGAATCCTTTTGGGAATAAACGACTAAAACATCGTTTATTTTTCCATCTTCTTCCTCGATACGTCCCAGGCGATCTTTCAACCATACTCTCAGCGACATACCGAATTGAAGGTTCAAGATGAGGATGGTTGCCATCAAAAGTGTCAACACTGTGCCCCAAATGATTAACCTTTTCCATGGGAACGGATTCGCGTTCAAATATTCCTCTTCAGCTAAACAAGAAATAAGTACATATATAAAGTAATTCATAACTTCTAGTTTTTTCTTTTAAATAACGATATGTATTAAGGCATGTGTACAAATTGCAAATATCTTCATTTACCTTTCTCGAATATAAGTACAGACGGTAAATCAACCGTTTTCCCCGGCTTAGTAATTCTGCAAACGTATTCTCCATAATCGTCGTCAGTAACTTCTTCGATTATTAAATACGTTCCAAATGTTTGGCCGTCCTCTCTGAAACAGATTATTGTATCATATTAATAAGATAATACCTTAAATATTACACAAAGATTGAAGAAAAACCTTTTTCAAATTATAATTTATGCATTATTCTTTTATGCATAGTTCCAGCCAACATTCTGGAAAACATTTTTTTGCCATTGTATTTATTATTCTACTTATTTGCATTGTTTCGTAACATTGTTTAAATTTACGCAGGTTTCGTGAAAAAACGACTAATAAATGTGTACAATTATATTGACACCGATAGTGATTGTATGCTTCCTGGAATATTTCATGTGTTGCTCCTCAACGAATTGTAATTTATTGTGTATGTGAAACAATTGCCGTAATAACACCTAGTAAAAATATGTCAGCGGTAATTTCAGCGACAAAGGGGGCAAACGCAATATCAATTTCGTTCTGAACACTACCCAAATTACGACGCATCAACATCAAAGAACCAATCTCAAGTTCCAAGAACAAATTTTCAGCTCGCAAATGCCTTTTTTAATGAGATCAATATTCAAGGCTCGCAACTAACAGATACAGGGCGTTTATCTCTTAGTAACCGACAAATTTTACAAAACTAATATGGAATTAATCCGAATTCTATCGCTAGAAATATACAATGATCACAGCCAGTACACACTAGTGGCGAGGTGACAACCGAACGTAGTGATATCAAAGTGCGACGTGGTATAAGAAAACTTGTACAAATACAAATAATAAAGTAATATAAGTCGAATAACAGCAAATTAAAACTTTTGAGTGGTGTTACAGTTATGTTGAAGAGATTTTGATAGTTCGGTTAGTTTAAGACGATTTTCAGAGAAGCAGAGGGTATTTTCATATAAACATAACTGAAAAACAAATACTCCACAAGCTCACTTATCCATTTTCGCTCGTACGGCATAACAAAAAATGCCGATAAAGAAATGTGTAATTTCTACGTTACGTGAACGACTTGCCTTACCTGTATAGTTAGTATACTGTGCCTTGACACCTTATATAACTTTTTTTTTAATTAAATTTAATTCCATCAATAAATCTCATTTTATTTAATAGAGAATTCGAGTTCTTGGAATTACGTGAATTCAGGAATCGTACATTGTATTAACCCTAGGTAATTTCACTTGGTATCTGTTCATTTGTTTTAGTTTAAACTTTGGAAATTCAGTTTTCATCATAAATTTAAACAAAAACATTTTCAGTAAACTGATAAACCGTTTATACCTTACCTGTATGCAAACTATACAGGTAAGGTAAAATGTTCACCGACCATAAAAATTGCATGTTTATTTTTCGGCATCTTTCTTTTTCATGTCGCGCGACAGAAAATGTATAATTTGTGACTGAAATTTGAACTTTTAAGTTTCATCAAATATCTAATATTTCAAAATTTTGAAATATCAAAAAAAGTTTATTTTGAATACGAGTATACATATATGTATGAATAAATAACCATTGCATTGCTACTTCATGATTTTTTTTTAAATATTTCATTGATTAGTAACATGCTCAACTGTAGCCTGTATTGGTATCTACCGGAAGAACCGGAACCGTCGACCAAACCATGGAAATTAACACAACATTAACACTTAGCTAGTTGCCATACAAATAGTAATTAAATTCTTGACGCCATCACTTTACTCAAGTGTCTATGTACTTAATTTCAAATCAGTATTTCCAAATTATTGTGGGTAGATCATTCAAATGTAATAACTAGTTTTTGGACGGCATACTAGGAGCAATTTTTAATGTTTTCAAAAATAAATACAACGATTGAATCAATTAGGTAATAGAATTTCCCAGAACAGGTGCATTCATTCACAAATAAATAGTGACAAATAAGGTAGGTAAATGTATTACCTTGAAACTTTTTCCTGTCGTATCCGGGGTTCGTCATCTAACGTACCGTTCTGACCAATTTTTCGCCAAATGGCCTCATTGTGAGCGTCAGGTAAATCTACCAAACCTGAAACGAAAACACCGCTTATTTCAATAAAATACAACTACTTAATACCTAAACAAACTATGAAACATTATACATAAATGTTTATACGAATGAATATCTATTTGAATACGATAATGGGATACCAAATGCAATTTAAAAAGGATTCTCCCACTGTTATATTGTTTACTTTTAACAAGTATAACTTTTTTTAATAAAATTTAAAATGTCCTACAAACTTTAAATTTCCTGGATTTTTTGTGTGGAACTTGTACGGAGTGTCAATAATTCTTTCAATTATAATTTTAGAAAACTTCATGTTTAATAGACAAGCAAATATGAATCATTTCTAAAATATTTACGTAAATGATAAATCATCAGAAATCACAAAGCATTACTTACGACTTTACTTTTACGGGAAACCTCTGACCAACGTTCAATTCAAAAAAGGCCGATAAGTACGTAATTTGAAGAAGTCATTTACCGAAACAAGCGTAATTTGGTTTTATTTGCAACAAAGCAAACAAAGGCTGAGAATTGTATAACGAGGAACTATGTAAATTGCTACTCCAAAACAAAGTTTCAACGAATACCAAACTATTATTTTAAGTTACACTGAACTGGAACTTTTCTAACCAGAAATGTAACATTTAAATTAAATAAGTTGACGACGTCTATAAAGTTTAAATTCAAGTATTGCTCTATGACTTTGTGAACATTTGACTTACAGTTCATACTGACGAGGGTTAAAGTACTAATAAGGGTCGACTTTAGCAACCTGCGACATGACAGGATAAGAGGAAGGGGATGGGCAAGGAATGAGAGGAGGTGACAGAGCTGAGGAAACGAAAAGCAGAAACATCCATTTTGGAAATAAATTCAAAAATTAATTTTTTATTTCTCAATAATGGAAGTTTTCCGCATACCTTTCTACATAAAGGAACTTTTTCTCCCTGTCCTACCTCCAGGGTAGTAATTATGTATTAAAAACGGTAAAACGTTATGGAATAGACCTTCTTCGATGGGGGGCAAGCTTCTCCTACCCCCCTTTTTCTACGTCGGTCGCTTTTCATACTTATTAACAAAGCAGCCAAAAAAATAAAGATTTTACTACAAAAAATAATTAATGATTATTACTAAGGTGGTTTTGTAAGTTTGTTTGGGTCACTTCGTTGAAAATAGAAAAGAAATATTTTAGAAAGGTATTTACAATATGTACACAAAATGAAAACAATTTTAAAACATGTGGTTGATATCGCCACAGCGGAAAGAGTACGTTTCTTTAATGTTTCAAAATAATGATCATTAATTGACGAAGTTCAAAATATCAACATAGATTTCTGAAAAAATTACATATGTATTTCAAAAATGCAGAGTTTTCGTCTGAAGTTGTACATGAAATCTTATTCTCTCACGGGTGTTTAAGCTTTTTATAAATCCTTAAGTATAAAAATAGAAGGGTTATTACAGCTTTCGTAAATGCCAATTACATCTAATAAGTATAGGAACGCGGTTTGGATCCGGTACTCGGCGTATCTGGCACATTTTTAGGATACGGCTGGGTGCCGGATAATGACGCCGGATATTAGTATGACTGTCACCTTGCAGACTTTTAGTGTTTATGAACATTACAGACTCGTTCTAAAGGTTTCAACTCAACCCTCTTGTTGAAAATCCGCCAACTAAGAATTAAATTTCATTAGTTTAGTGTTTTAAAAACTTTTTGAACGAGACTTAATGTGGTTTGGGACGTTGGTGAGGGTGGTATTTAACGGAAAGCCCGCTAGAACGAAGACATGAGCCATTAACCGCCGGGTACCAGGCGCAGCAAATGTACGGTACCCGATTATCTGGTACCCGGCAAAATCACAATCCGATGCACCTTTACTAATAAATAAAATATAATACTTAATGCTATTTATAGGTGTATGTTTGGAGCACGGCGTTGTACGGGTGCGAAACATGGACGCTAGGCGCGGCGTAAAAGAAAAGGTTAGAAGCGTTCGAAATGTGGTGCTACAGGCGAAAGATGAGGATACCGTGGATAGAGAAGATTAGATATGAAGAGGTATTAGAGAGAATAGGAGAACAGAGGACTCTATGGATGTCAATAAAAAAATAGGCGAGATAGATTGGTAAGACACCTTCTCCGGCATGAAGGTCTAGTTAGAGATATATTAGAGGCAGAAAAAGGATTTAAGAGGAGTATAGGTAGACTTAGATTAGATTATTGTTCGCAAATAGTTAAAGATGTGGGATGTTCTTCTTTTTAACTAACTCAGTATAAGAAAGAGTAGAGGTGCATTTCCAACTAGTCTTAAAACTGACGACCTTATGACGATGAATGATATTTAAAGTATTATAAAATAGAAAGATCCTTTGAATCAAATAACTTTATACTAGTAAAGTCGTTTAATATATTTAACCAGCTAATGAAAATGAGATTGCTTTTTGAAACCTCCCATGTTAAAGGAAAATTAATACAATTTTATAGTACCATATAAATTCACAAAATAAAGAATGAGAGACTGTGGTGTTTATCAAACAATTAACAAGTAATTCAGACCAATTTGTCACAGCGAACTGTTTTTAGAAGGCACGTGTTTCGCCCACAACTGATATGGGCATTACAATGCGAGACAGTCTCACGTGTTCGCTAAGAAAAGACTTGTTTTTCAATTAACATGGAAATTATTTGTCAACAACATATCAAACTAAATTTTAACTAAACGGAAGAAGAAAACCGTGAAGGAGCACTTTTCCTTTCGAATCCAAGTGAGTTGTTATTTCTTTTCTTTCTTCAAAAACTGTTTTGTACTGAGACATTTGTAACAACAATAATTAAATTCTCAAATAATCTCTAAATAGCACTTCCAACGATAAAATCTCAAATGCGGCATTTTAATACAAAACGTCTGTTACACTTACGATTAATTTCGAAACAATAACCTGCCCGTTTCAGCCGTTTCGATCGTTTTTTTGTTAAAAACAAATTAGTTATTGTATTAACTACCAACTTGAAACTAAACAAATAAAAATCTTTAAATAATACGACCCAAAATCAATAAGATTATACGATAATCTCCGAAACTACTCATCCGATTTCAAAAACTCCTTCATCAATATTTACAATTGAACTTCAGGATAGACAAACACTTATAATTCCGTCAAAACAAAAGACCGTTTCGTAGACCAACAAGTCTAAGGTAAAATGCTTTATAAAGAAAATTTGCACAGCTTAAAAGAGCGTGCAGAAAAATCGATGACCACATATTAAAGTTTTTCACAAACTGATAAAATATGACTGCTATTAATTTAGTTACAAACCGAATTCCAAGCGGCCGAAGCAGCTAGTGAAGTACAAAAGTGTAAATCAGCAACGGTTTTGTTGGTGCACAGTGAGTACTTAGAGATAAAGATTGTCAATCATAAATACCTTGTCGATGATGTTTATACAGCACTCACTACGATTACAGGGAATACCATTAATAATGAAATTCTGGTTACAATAGCATATTACGCTAACATTTCTTAAAAATACTACATCAAAAATAATTCCCTGTCAATTTTCCGTAATTTTTCCGGCAGTAAATAATTCTAAACGAAAATTCTCAGGTGCGAACTTTACACTAACTGTAGGTAATAATAGTAGACTTGTAGCATTAAATATATAAAAATAATTACTTTTCTTGATAATAAATATAAAAAAACTAGTTTAAATGATCGAACACAATATGTAGTAGGGGATTCTCTTGTAAGTGTTGTGATGTTGTTAACTTGCAACATAATAATAGATAATGTATATGACTAGCGCTTATTTTTACTGATGCAACGGATGATAGACCATATCAATCTTACTTGATGAATTTGTTTAAAGGTGGCTGAAGACCTCTTTAATGTTGTCATAACAAAATTAGCAGGAAAAAATATAAGACATCGGATAATTAACCATAAATTACGAGTAGATCAGCCGTAAGAACCAAAAACTGCAAAAATTGGAAAATTGATTAGAAAAATCCTAGACAGCTAGAACCGATCTTATAATTAGCCGTTAATTAGCCGCTGATGGTGTAGATTACTAAGCAGGGGGTTAGCATAAGCTAATCATGAGCCCGGTTCGAACGTATGCTCCAACAAGGTCCATTTAAATATATGAATATCTACTTGCTGAAACGAATCCCGGCGTAGCTAACCTCAACGTGATAGGCACGTACACCTAAAGTGTAGCATCGTACTAGAGATGGCGTTTACCGCGTCATTTGTGGTATTTTCTAAAACGCACTGTTAAGACAGCAGGTAAAAGTTGGTCTGTGTTCTGTCGCAACTGTCTGCGACGCGCTGATGAGATCCAAAAAGATCAAAATTGCAATCCGCGTCTGGCAGTTTAGACAGAACACAGACCACTTCGAATTATTTTATTCGAGAATGCAAAGTAGTTTCCCAGGTCGCGGTAAATTTTGGCTTTCACGGCTTATTTAGGGCTAATTTGGTTTATATTTTTGTCTGCTAATTTTTTCATGCCAGCTTCAAAGGAGTAGGCGGAAGGGGCTTTCAGTTTTGCTTTCTGGCTCTGCACTACAGAGAGTACTTCACAGGCACTAGTAGCTGATGAGACTCAATAAACAAGAGCTCGTTCCTTTGATATTCTCTTTAGAGCGCCCGTATTAAATGCAAGTATTTGCCGTACTCTCGGAGAACAAACTACGTCAAACGTGTTTCTTGAAAATACCAAAATTTTGGTAAAGTGAAGGACGAATGAACATTAGCTCTCGTTTAAATTCCAAATATAATAAATTCCAGGAAAATTCCAAAATACATGTTTACCTTTTCAGATTCTGAACTAAACGCACAGGGTAGTTGTAGTGTGAACTGTTTTCAAAGGTAGAAAATCAATGCACACTTAATTTTTTTAATTGAAATAAATACATTGTACGTTTAAAACTTCCATTAAAAATGGTATTCCTTCCTTAGAACAGGTTCATATTTCTGTATGTGCGAGACTCATTTTAATAAATATTTAATAA